AATGCCCAGCTCAGTAAATCATCAGAAAGCAAAGGCCCCAGGAAACAGTTGTGCTCGGGCACCTGGACCATCCTGGGCCATGTTTGGGACCCTCCAGGACTGTACCCCAGTGAAGCTCAGAGGCCACGTGCTACCAGAGATGGAGCTGGTCGTGGCTACATGCACGACGTGAACCGTCATTCCTATATTATTTCCAAAGCCTTTTTGTTTCTTTCTGTTTAGCTGATTTTAAAATAGAAGATAACAGCTATGGGGGGGGGGGGGTTAGCCTGGCAGTGCCAGCCTGATAGCTTGCTTGGGGCCACCATGGTCACACATGGTGTGTTGAGGTCAGTGGGCACGAAATGCCAGGGATTGAATTAGCGACCTCACACGTGCCAGGTGTGTGCTCTGCTTCTGTGCCCTCATCTTGCCCGCCCTGCCATCCTGTCTCTACAATGTAGTTGATTGAGGTACCAAATATCTTACTAAAAGCTCACTGGAAGACTCAATAGATTTTAAACAAATAACAGCATGTAAAGCCATCTTGTATATATTTTATGAGAGTTTAAAAATTAATTTAAAACAAATACAGTCACATTGATAATTATTTGCTGAGCAAAAAAAAAAAAATAATTAACGAAGTCCTGTGGCACCTCTGTCAAACCCATCTTCTTTCCCTAAGGCTGCTTATTGGGCTGCTTATTGAATACATTGCCTTTTGGCCTTTTATTCTCCATTTCTGTTTAAATTCTGTAATGGTAGTTAGTCTGACAGAGATAATCACTATTACTTGGATCGGACTAATATGTTTTAGACACAGGCTTCACTACTTAATAAATACTCCCTTTCATTCTGAAATACCATGTTTGTTGCAAAATAACTTGCTGCAGAGTCTGTCTCTGATAATGCACGCATCAGATGGGCAAATGGCCCATAAGACTTTCAAATGTCTCTTTGACCTTGAGATTCCATTATTCTTCAGCCAGAATGTCTCGGTGCCGCCGTAACCGCATACACGTTGTGTGAAGCAAAAGCTGTCTTGCATTTCCGGAGTTTAGAATTTCTTCAGTGAAACACAGAGATGGTACCAGCTAGAACTTGTGTGTGATTTATGGCAGAATGGTTTGCATGCATCATACATACCTGAAGTGTTCAGTTAGAGAGATCCCATGCAGGAGAGTGAGAAGAGCCACATCTAGCCTGAGAGACTCTGCAGAGAGACTACAAGGGAGCAGGACAGAGGAATGCTTCACTCCTGGAGCAGGAGTTAGGGAAGGCCTAGGCCTGGCACATCTAGAAAGCTGATGCTCTTATTCTGCTGTGTCATCAACAATGGCCTGCCTGCTTCCCTCCCTCCCTCCCTCTCTCCCTCCCTCTCTCCCTCCTTCCCTCCTTCCCTTCCTTCTTTCCTCCCTCCCTCTCTCCTTCCTCCCTCCCTTCCTCCCTCCCCCTTCCTTCTTTCTTCTTTCCTATTTTCCTACCTTCCTCCCTCCTCTCCTTCCTTCCTTCCTTCCTTCCTTCCTTCCTTCCTTCCTCCCTCCCTCCCTCTCTCCCTCCCTTCCTCCCTCTCTCCCTCCCTTCCTCCCTCTCTCCCTCCCTTCCTCCCTCTCTCCCTCCCTTTCCTGTATGCCTGATCACTTCTTGGCCTGGACTCCCACGCCCACTTCTCTGTGCTTGCACATTTGGCTGCAGTGTGAACCAGCATTTTCACTCCTTTACTTTGGGTGCCAGCTCAAAGCCTCCACCAGGCTTTGCAGTTACTCTAATGATGGCATGGGTGCTTGGGAGGTTCTGAAGGGACCTCCTGGTTCCGTTGGCTCCAGGTGGGCCTCCTGCCCCTGAGCGAGATGTTGGCTTCTCAGTTCTCTGCGGCAGATGAAGCAGATTGAGCCTTTCAGCCTGTTAGCAGTGCAAGTATATTCCTTTTATCCCTTAATCCCTTCCCTTCCCTTCCCGTCCCGTCCAGTCCGGTCCCGTCCCGTCCCATCCCGTCCCGTCCCGTCCCGTCCCTTCCCTTCCCCCTTTCCCCTCCCTCCCCTGCTCCCCCCACCCTCCTTTTCCTGTATGCCTGATCACTTCTTGCCTGGACTCCCACGCCCACTTGTCTGTGCTTGCACACTGCAGTGTGCAGCGTGAAACAGCATTTTCACTCCTTTGAGTGTCAGCTCACGTGCTCCCCAGAGGGCCACTTGCCCTCTCTTTAGTTGTGCTGCTCTCTGGGCATCGCACCCAGTTCTGAGATGCCTATATTTCCCCAGGTGCTGGGGATTGCAGGTAGTGGAGTGCTAGGATAAGACTCAGTGCACGAGGGACTCTTGGGCACTTGAACTCATGACCATAGGCTAGCAAGGCTGGCGCTCCAGGCCACTACCTGTTCCTCCGAACCCCGATAACAGCATTCCTTTCAGCACTCACCAGCATGGAAGTAGGATTTGACTGTCCAGATTTTGGATGTTTTGAATGACTTAGGTGAATAAACTTAGTTAATTTTGGTGCTGCAGTAGAGTAAGACGTTTTTCACACAGCAGACTTCATCATGAGCTGAATCTGTTTGAAAGCAGTGTAAACAAACTGAGATGAGCCCTTTTTGGTCCTGACGTGGGGAAATTCTTTGGGGTTCTGCAGTATCCTCTGAGTCTAGTAGATGCTGGTCTTTTGATTGCGTTTAGCTTGGAAAGGTTAAGTCCTCACTGAGGTTCAGACTCGTTATGTTGATACTAAAGTCTGGGTACAGTATTTCATTCTGTCTTTCAGATTTTATTCTGGGAGGTGAATGAGGACTCCAATGAAATGCAGCCTATATGAATGCTTTAATCAAAAGTTTTCATCTCCTGTAAAGTGAAAAAAGAAACATTGTTCTTTCTTCCCATTGACTGTGTCCTTAATAAGTTAAAGAGGATTTCTGTCATTTCGTTTATTCAATAATAGTTTATTGTTGAATGTGAAATAGGTATCATTTTAGTTGTTAACTAAAATTGTTCTTTAAGGTTGCATCATTCTTTAGTATTACAGCATTTTGAGAGTACTATATAAAAAATGTCATACTACTGATTTGATTTAGATGCTTTATATATATATTTTTTTTTTTTTGCTTTTTTTGGGTCACACCCAGCGATGCACGGGGATTTCTCCTGGTTCATGCACGCGGGAATTACTCCTGGCCGTGCTTGGGGGACCATATGGGATGCTGGGAATCGAACCCAGGTCGGCCGCGTGCAAGGCAAACGCCCTACCCGCTGTGCTATCATTCCAGCCCCAGATTTATATATTTAAAAATATTTTTTGAAATTCATTTGTTTTAAATGTTCAGTAATCATACTTAATTATTCTAGCTGTGTAATTAACTCTTTTTTAAAAATTGATTTGTTTTGGGGCACAAGTCAAATTCTGATTGAGTGTTCACTTATAAGACAGATAAATTCCAAGAGCAGAGAAGGAAAGGAAAGAGATAGATCGAACTTTACTTGCAGGCAGAATTGAGTGGAAATATATAAAATTTATATCACACCATAGAACAATTTTAAGGTCGATCAGGTAAAATGGTAAAGGTGATTGTAGCACTATAGCACTGTCCTCCCGTTGTTTATCAATTTTATCACCCAGGCACCAGTAACGTCTCCATTGTGAGACTTGTTACTGGTTTTTTTTTTTTTGGCATATCGAATACATCATGGGTAGCTTGCCAGGCTTTGCTGTGCCAGCAGAATACTCTCAGTAGCTTTCTGAGCTCTCCGAAAGGGGTGGAGAAATCGAACCCAGGTTGGCTGTGTGCAAGGCAAACGCCCTACCTGCTATGTTATTGCTCTGGCCCGTAAAGGTGATTAATACTCGAAAATCTTTGCTACTGCATTCTTTGTAGTCTTTGATGCCTGGAGAAATTTAGGATATAATTTATGCACATCTTTGTACTTTCTGATCAATTCATTTTGTTATTGTTATTTTTGAACCATGCTCGCTGGTGCTCAGGGCTTACTCCTGGCTCTGTGCTCAGGGCTCACTCCTAGCAGTGCTCAGGGGATCATACGTGGTGCCAAGGATAGAACTGAGGTCTACTGCATGCAAGACCAAGTGCCTTATCCCCTGTCTTCTCTCCTGACCCCCGTTTATTTAAAAATAGATGTTTTTTAGGCCCCACTGGCTAGTGCTCAGGGGCTATTCGTAGCTCTGCTTAGGAATGACTCCTGGCAGTGTCAGGACCATGTGTGTGCAGGGACAGAGCTGGGCACAGCACGTGCAGGGCCTCGCCCCTGATCCCATCGTTTCTGGTCCCCTCAGAGCCATTTCTATAGCTTATGAAGCATTTCTTTTGGGACTTAAGTATATATAAGATGAATTCTTTTTGTTAGGGGAAAAAGATTGAAGTGAAGGGAATTTTTTCATTAATTTTGAGCAATTAAACATTTTTATCCTTTCTCATGAGTGTATTTTCATGCATCTCCACAAGGTAAGATTTGGATGATAATTGTAGCACTGTCCTCCCGCTATTCATCGATTTGCTCGAGCGGCCCCAGTAACCTCTCCATCGTGAGACTTGTTACTGTGTTTGGCATATCGAATATGACAAAGGTAGCTTGCCAGGCTTTGCCTTGCGGGCGAGATACTCTCAGTAGCTTGCCAGGCTCTCCGAGAGAGGCAGAGGAATCGAACCTGGCTCGGCCAGGCTGGCTGTGCACAAGGCAAATGCCCTATCGCTGTGCTGTCACTCCAATAATTATACACACACACACACACACACACACACAAATATGTATGTGAGTGGATATATATGTAGAGACAGAGAGAGAGAGAGAGAGAGAGAGAGAGAGAGAGAGAGAGAGAGACTGGAAAATGACTCAAATGGTAGAGAGCGTTCTTAGCATGTGTGAGGTCCTGAGATCAATGCTGCCCCCTCCTCCCCAGCACTGCTTTGTTGGAAAAAAATTTTTTTAAATCACTTTTCAAAGCTTCGGTACTGTGAAAATAGCACGATGATTTATGTGATTGTTTTTGGTGTCACATCTTAAAATCATTTTTGGCAGATAAAATCACACAAGAAGATATCGAAGGCATTCTGCAGAAGTTCACGGGAACTATCATGCAAGTCCCTCCACTGTGAGTGCAGTTGGTGAATGCGACCGTCTTGTCTCGCTTCATTTTCCTGTGAGCTGTTAACAGCCCTCGCAGGGGACAGTGGGGCGGTGTCATACTTTGGTTGGGTGGCAGGGTTGGCTTTAAATCTGGCATAACGGTGACCCCTTTCCTTACGGGAGAATTTAGACGGAACGCAGAGTTCATTTGTGGCCTTCAGAGGAGAGGGTGGTTTCCCCGCAGCCTGACGTCTGTCCTTTCACCAGGCTTTGCAGTTACTCTGGTGATGGCACGGGCGCTTGGGAGGTTCTGGAGGGACCTCCTGGTTCCATTGGCTCCAGGTGGGCCTCCTGCCCCAAGCCAGATGTTGGCTTCTCAATTCTCTGCGGCAGATGAAGCAGATTGAGCTTTGTAACCTGTTAGTAGTGCAAGTGTATTCCTTTTATCACTTAATCACATTTTTATGAACATTCCCATGTCAAGCAAATCCCTTTTTGTTTTAAGCGGCTGGAATGGCTGTAAGATATGTCAAATGATAATTCTTTTAAAATTTAGTATTTCATACTTAGTAATCTTGGGTTTTTTTTTTTTTTGTTGTGGTTGGGTTTTTGTTTTCGGAGCATTGCAATACCTATGGTGAGTGTTAAGCCCGGGATTTTGGGTTCCCAAGCAGTGAGGCAGACAGAAGAGACATTAACTTGATAATGCAAAAGCAGTAGGAGTTTTATTCCACTATACTGGGGTCAACTATCTCACCCACAGAGTGATCTCTTGATAGCAACCCCGACTTCAGGCAGCAAGCAGTTTATATAGAGTTTGATCATATAAGCAGTACATGCCTTATTGTTTCAGAAAAAAATTTTCAAAGGTGTTTTGGCAAGTGTCTAGGGGAACTGTGGTCAGGCAATAGTTAAACAGTAGTTTCTAGTAACAGTTCATGGTTACATAAGCTACTCATTCTTTCAGGGTTAACAAAAGACAATTTCTGGGGCATTTTGACTGGGGCATAGTGATTGATTGAGCCCACTTGCTGGGCCCAGGAACTTTCCCAGGTGGGTTCAGGTTGGCTAGTTACACATTTGTTTCATTGCTGGGAAACCGAGACTGTTTCAGTTCCAGAACTAAACCTGAGGCCTAGCTGATTTTGCTGATTTCTGCCGCCTGTCATGGCCTCAGTGACTGAGGACCTCACACTCCCTTCCAGTGATACTTTATCTTATACCTCCAACGTAAAGATTCAAAAAATTTAGCAGCACCCGAATAAATGTTCTTTGGGTGCATTTTGGTTCAACTAATCATGTTTATGTTTATTCTTTGTAATTGCTTCGTTTCACTTTAATAATCATGGTTATTATTAGATTTGAATTCTTTTTTCTTTATTGATTAAGGTCCTAAGATTATAATACCTTTCAGAACTTTGAGAGTCCTAGGGATTGCGTGGTGCGATAAAATGTTATCACACAAAGCTAGGTAGGATCTCTTAAGTAGGTCACAATCATTATTCACCTTTTGGAAACTCCATTGTATGAAAAGGAATATTAGAACGGAAACTATTTCTAGGAAACACAGATCAGACCCCTTTGGGGGTGAGGCTGCAGGGGCCCGGCCTCCTGGCTGGGTTCCAGAGTCACCTCGAGGAGCTGCAGGGACATTTGTGTGAGCTCTGGGCCTGACACCGTTTGGGGATAAAATAGAAGGAAAAAAAAAAACTGCTCGTTTGCTTTCGAGAAGAATTTTCCACTTGAAGGGCTGCCCAGTGAGCCTTTCTGTCCGTGCCAGAATCTGGAGTCGCTCTTTGAGTCCTCTCAGTTTCTCCTCAGCTCTCTCCCTCTCTCACCTTGCAAGCTATTCGGCACTGAAGAAAGACGGACAGAGGCTCTCGACGCTGATGAAGAGAGGGGAGGTGGTGGAAGCCAAGCCCGCCCGGCCCGTCACGGTCTACAGCCTATCCCTGCAGAAATTCCAGCCGCCGCTGTTCACGTTAGGTAAGAGGCAGGGTTGGGGAAGTGTGTTTATGTCGGAGCGCTGCCCCCCGCCCCCCACCCCGCCCGACTTTGCCAACTTTTGTGTCATTGGAATGAATCCCTCGCATGCTGGGAAAATGTTTTAAATTCAATTCAAGAAAAATTAAGATTTGTTGATAAAAGTAAAAAAGACCCTCCCATTGTTCATCGATTTGCTCGAGCGGGCCCAGTAACGTCTCCATTGGAGACTTTGTTGTTACTGTGTTTGGCATATCGAATACGTCTTCGCGGGGAGCTTGCCAGGCTCTGCCGTGCGGGCGAGATACTCCTGGTAGCTTGCCGGGCTCTCCGAGAGGGGTGGAGGAATCAAACTCGGGTTGGCCATGTTGGCTGCGTGCAAGGCAAACACCCTACCCGCTGTGCTATCGCTCCAACCAATAACAAACATTTGCTAATTCACTAACCAGATAAAATTAACAAAAACCATACTAATCAGCAAAACTATCAACTCTTTATTTTCTGGAACTACAAATACTATTCAATACATTGTAAAGAGAACCAAAGAAAATGACTTAATATCTCCATTTATTTCAAGGTTATAAGCAAATAATTTTAACAAGTTCAGCTTTTTTTTAAAAAGAAAGAGCAATGATATAAATAAGGTTGCAAATTATACAGAATTTCTTCTTAATTCCCAAAAGCTTAAGAGCAGGAGTGAAGGGTAAGTTTAAATATTTTTCTTACCTTGGTCCTTATCTAATGTTCTCTACTCAGTGAACTGCACAGTCACATGACCAATATTAAAGCCCAGAAAATTTCTGAATATGCTCTAGAAATCTCTGATGCCCACCTCCTGCCTTATACTTTGTTAATGTGGAAAATGTTCTAATACAGTGGATACTGGAGGAAAAGGGCACGGGGTGGACAGAATGGGCAAAGGGGTCACTCTGGCAATGGGATGGCATCAGAACTTTGGTGGTGCTGGGTACCAAACCCGGGTCGGCTACATGCAAGGCAAGCCTTACCTGCTGTGCTCTCTCTCTAGCCCCTATTTTACTTTAGTGTAATTAAAATAGGAAATAATATACCTTTAGAACTCTGTAGAGTTGTCAAACTATTTTTTTTTTAATTTCACTTTTTTTTTTTATCAAGACACTGTGATTTACAAAGTTACTCCTAGCTGAGTTCTGGGTTTACTGTGTTCCAGCACCAGCGTCAACTTCCCCTCTGCGTGTTACCAGGTTCCTTCCCTCCCTTCTCTCTGACTTTTATAGTTGATGCTCTGCCATCTTACATGTGCTTGTGCCAACCTTATTTGCTAGAACTCGCTCCTTGCCATTCAGTTTTATAGTTGCCATTAATTTGTCCTTGAAAGCAGCATTCGGGGGCCAGAATGTGGCTCAGTGGTAGAGCACTTGCCTTGTACGTGTGTGATACCCTGAGTTTGAGCACTTGAACTGAAAAAAAAAAAATCGAATGAATCAAGGAGCGGTAGGGCATTTGCCTTGCACACAGCCAACATGGCCAACCAACCCCAGTTCGATTCCTCCGCCCCTCTCAGAGAGCCCGGCAAGCTACTGAGAGTATCTCGCCCACACGGCAGCGCCTGGCAAGCTCCCCGTGATGTATTCAATATGCCAAACACAGTAACAATAAGTCTCATGATGGAGACGTTGCTGGGCCCGCTCGAGCAAATCAATGAACAACGGGAGGACCGTGACCGTGACCGTGAGCAAGAAATTCTAACCTTTGAATGATTTTTTTTTCCCACCTCTCCTTTTTTTGTTGCCTCTAAGCTGTGGCTGTGGTACCCGGGTTGAACCCAGGGCCCGGTGCATGGCAGGCATGCCCTTTGAGCTAGCTCCCTGACGCTGATCATACTTAGTTTCATAGTTTTTACTAAGTAGGATTCCTTTTAGGAATATGATTCCTTTTTCTCTAACCTTTATTTTTTTTTTTCCATTGGAATTGTTATTTAACGTCTGTAAGTTCCTTGGAGAATACTTGGTTTTGAGGCTGGAGCGATAGTACGGCAGGTAGGGCGTTTGTCTTGTATGCCGCCAACCCAGGTTTGATTCCCAGCATCCCATATGGTCCCCTGAGCACCGCCAAGAGTAACTCTGCCGGGTGTGACCCAAAAAGCAAAAAAAAAAAACAAAAAAACAAAAAAACAAACAAACTTGGTTTTGTGAGAGTCAGTCAGTAGAACTGAATTTGCAGGGAGGTGGGGAAGGTGAGGGGTGGGATGGGAAGGGATCTTGAGGTTAGTGGGGGGACACTCACGCAGATGGTGGGTGTGGAGTGGGGACCTTGCATGCCTGAAATTATTACTGGTGGTATTGTAAATCCTGGTGCTTTGATAAAAAATGAGTGTTGGGTGAGGTGCTTCTACAGTTAAAAGAAAAAATAAAGAAGTTATTCCTATTCCTGCTCTGCTTGAACGAAAGAAAGAAAGAAAGAAAGAAAGAAAGAAAGAAAGAAAGAGAGAGAGACTGATGATAAAAAATATTTTACTTGATTCTATGAAAATGCAGCAGCTGGCCTGACACCATAGACATTATCTAGGAAAGTAAGAAAAACTCAATTTTCCCATTTCATTTAAATTGTAAATACTTAATTTACAATTCATTGAAGATTATAATAATCCCAAAGATGTCTGTTCACCAAATAGAGTGCAAGAATGTTAGCAACAATTTTTTTTTTTTAATCTCAGCAGTGACTACCCTTCCTCCCCCCAACCTTGAGCCTCTGGGGGGTGGGAGGAAGAATTAGAGGTCAGGGAGATGATTCAAGGGGCTAGAGTACATGCAGGGACCTGGGTCCAATCCCTGGCACTGCATGGTCCCTTGAGACCACCAGCTCTAACTCCTGAACAGGGTGTCTCCCAGGGACCCGCCTTAGTAACGCTGGGTTTGATCCCCAGGTCTCCCCTCCGAAATATTTTTTTTTAATCTCAAATACTTGCGTTTTTATTAATTCCACCCAAAGACCTTGTTGTATAATAAGTCTAAAAACAGCTGAAGGTAGTGCTTTTGTGTGGAAAATGCAGTGCTTTCTCTTTTCCTTTCCTTTCCTTTTTTTTTTTTTAAAGGAATGTCTTAGGGGCTAGAGCAATAGCACAGTAGGTAAGGCATTTGCCTTGCACATGGCCGAACCGGGTTCGATTCCCATCATCCCATATGGTCCCCTGAGCACCGCCAGGAGTAATTCCTGAGTGCAGAGTCAGGAATAACCTCTGTGCATGGCCAGGTGTGACCCAAAAAGCAAAAAAAAAATAAATAAAAGGAATGTCTTATAGATAAACAATAATGTAGAACCCTGTTAACTAATAAAGTTATGCCATCCCATGCGGAGATGTTTACATTTGCATTCAGTTTGGGGACATTGTAATTTTAAGTTATTTTGCATTTCCTTTAGGAATAGTTCCAAGAGAACATTTACAGATGCTGTGCTTGTGGGGTCTGTCACCCCAGTCTAGCTCTCGTCACTCATCAGGGGCTTTTAGTTTGTTGTATTTTTTAAAAGTATTTTAACAACCTCCAGCTTATGGTACTAAAACAAATACGATGACCATTTAAATACTGCTACATGAACGAGATGTGCAGTTCTGCAGAGATTTTTTTAAAATCTCCAGCCCCTAATAGCAAAGCTGCTATCACTAACGATTTGGGATCTATGAAATGAACAAGAATGAAGTATTAAAATGCTGTATCTTGCCAGTTAATTTAAAATGTGTTCATGGGTTTTTGCTGTTTGCTTTCTCCACACTCTGACTTTTCAATCTCACAAACACATATGCTCCTGGATGAATAATTTATGTTTCAGCACATAAATATTTTATCACTCAATTGTTTGCATAGTGCATTTTTACATTTGTTTGGGGGCATCATTTCTATGTAAAGTGGATTTCATAGGAGGTTAGCAATTTACCATGTCACTGTTAACATTCCAGATGTTGAATGCGGAGGAGGTTTTTATATCAGAAGCTTGGTCAGTGACATTGGCAAAGGTAAGTATAAAGACGAGTCCCGAATTACCATTTGGAGAGTAATAGTCCTTTTTGATGAGAAGAACTTTCTGGGTTTTGTATCTCTTGAGGACTGATTTTAGGAATTATACTCTTGCTGCCTTCAGCTCTTGATAGCTTGTGGGTTCATAGCTATCCACATCAGCAGATGCAGTGAAATGCTTGTACTGGAAGAGAAAGGGAGGAACAGAGAATGAAGAAGAGAATTATGAATGTAAGCGCCAAAGTTTTTCCAAGCACAGTACTTTTAGAAGAATAAGAATGAAGGTTTGTCCTTTGAAAAGTTATTTTCAATTGATGCACATCAGATTTCTTGGTTCAGCAGACATGGAAATTGGGAGTTCTGATCCCGTCATTTGCTGGCAGTTGTGACTGTCATAGGTCAGAGTAGGTCATCTGCGAAGTGAAAGTAATAGTTACCTCGTGGGAATGCTTCCTGGGTTAAGTAAGCGTCTGCAAATTCTTGCAGACTTTAAGTCTGTAGGAGGTGGGCTTTTGATATTATTGTGATACTTAATCATCTCTTAATCTCAAGCCTCCTGGTTCTTGAATTATGAACGTCTTTACGTTGGGGATGGTTTCGAGAGGTGCAAATTGAATTCTTCTGTCATTTGAGAAATGATGGGCTGTGAAACGCTGACTCATGTATGTTGTGGATCTTTCTTTTCACCCTCTGTCGCCGTAGAGCTCTCTTCCTGTGCCAGCGTGCTAGAGCTGATCCGAACCAAACAGGGGCCATTTACCCTAGAGGAGCACGCCCTTCCCGAGGACAAATGGACCATTGATGACATTGCACAATCTCTCGAGCATTGCTCTGCTCTTCTGCCAGCAGAGTTGGCACTTAAAAAATCCAAACCAGAAGAGTCCAGTGAGCAAGTTTTGAGCTGTGAATATATGACTCTAAATGAGACCAAGGGAGAGGAGGATGTAATTAAGACATCTTAAGACTGGCTTGGGATCCCACCATGAGTGCCGTTGACACTTGGATCCTGTGTGCAAAATGACAAACTGTGCAAAAGACAAACTTTTTTTTTTTTTGCATGAAGAAAAAAATGCGCATTGTTTACAGTTTCTATATTGTACAGTGTGCCTGCGGTGCATTATGAATCGCCTTGGAGTTGTTCAGTGTTTTGCTGTACAATGAATTTTCCCTTTTGATTGTAATCATGCTGTGAGGTTAGATTCAGGAAAGTCAACTTTCTGATTTTAATCTCTCTGCGAAGTCTTTTCCTGTGAAAGAGTTGAGCACATTTTTAATCAATGAAAAAAGAAAAGAAATATGAACTACTTGTTTCTTTGGTGTCATAAAAGTGACATGAATGTAAATCAGTGTGTTTTGATCTTATTTGAGCTGCTTGGTGGCTTTATTGTATTGAAATCCTTTGTTTGAAAAGGCCATTATTGAACTCATATGTTTTGGAGCATTTATGGTTATCAGTGATTTCTTTGATGAGTCTGCACTTCCCTGGGTTTGTTTAGATCTGGGAAACAAAGAAACTTTTATAATAAATATTTGTAAAATGAATCAAATCATTGCTGCTACCGTGAATGTGATAGAGATAAATGAACTGTTTCACTAGCTACACCTCTATTCTGCTGTGAGTGCAGAAGATACTTCTGTGGTGTATATTTTGGCAGCTATGAGATCTTTTCCTAGTGATTTTAGCAACACAACTGACTGTCCTATAATAAGTTACTAAAGTAATGTGATTTTTTTAATTGAACTGAAGAAGTTGTCTTCAGTCAACAGTTTCTTTTCTCTTTTCCCTCATATTTAGATACTTTTTGAGAGGGCTTTTCTGCCCGGGACAGTTTTTTCAGTTTGCTCTTTCAAGTGATGCTTATAGATGATGAGTGAGCTGCTCCGTCTACCCAGTTACTCTCTTGCACTAAAAATTCTAACATGTTCGTCTCAGAGATTTTCATTTAGACAGCCACTGAAAGTGCTCTGTCCCTCTTTACCTTCATTTTGAAATGTAGTCACTTCCACAGTAGTAAATCTCATATGTAATGAATGCTGCATATTTTTATTTTGGGAAAGCAATCTATTTTGCAGTCTCTAGAAATATTCAAATCCCACGCCACTTTTTCTTTTTAAGTTTCAAAAGAATCAGTAAATAGTTCATAAAACATAAATTTTGGGGATTTTTAGAGCATTTTATCTTTTAAAGGTGGTGGCCTTTAGGTTTTAAAAATATGTTAAATATGCAACTTTAAAATGGTTTTATTTATGATTAATGTAATTAAACTTAATATAAAAAGATGGATTTTAAAAGAGCATTTTTAGCATGTTAGCGCACGGGACTATTGGAACTAATTGTTAATCTGTCAAAAATGATGAGGAAAATCATTGGACGTAGCGATACAGTCTGTAAAATGCCAAACGCATAAACTCAATTGAAAGTTTGCAATTTCACTTTTTCCTTTCTAGTCTCCTGCGTTGCGTCTCAACCACGGTGGCACAGGTTACAGTACGTCTCCCTGCGCTGCCAGTGAAGCTCGAAGAGAGGAATGTTTAGTTTTTCAAAACATCGGGGCATTTGTGCTCTGTTTCGCAACTTAAAAGTTGGCAGAGAATTTACTAACGAAGGAAAAAGTAGAGATTGTTTGCAAAGACAAGACTTTGGAAAATGGTCACCTTCGTTCATATTGAACACACTGAAGGAAGTATTGCCAGATGGAAATATGACCCCCTAATCCCGACGCAGTGGTTTTTAGAACTTCAGTTTTTAAAAAATTTTGGTTTGGGGCCACACCCAGTGATGCTCAGGGGTGACTCCTGGCTCTGCACTCCTGGCAGTGCTCAGGAATCTTTTGAGATGCCCGGAATTGAACCCCCCGCAATAGCCTTACCCACTGTACTATTGCTCTGCCCCCAGAACTTCAGTTTTTATAGTACCATGTTATTGTTATCTATTTCCAATTGTATATAATTTTGCTGGTCATTTTTAAATGTTATTTAATTATGATTTTTTTTTTTTTTTGGTGGTGCCAGGGATCAAACCCCAGTTTCATGCATGCAGGGCATGCACTTCTGCTGCTTCTTCACATCCCTGGGCCCCTTGTTTGTTGGTGATAATTTTACTATTAGTTCACAACTAAACTGGTTTCCTATTGTTGAATATTTATTTTCAATTTAATTTGATTGTTACCTTGTATATTATTTATTTAAGCCATTTTCCTGTTGTTGATTGCTTATTATCTGTAGTTTTGTTGGGATAAATTCAGGAAGTGGGATTATTGAGTGGAATGATAGAAGTAACTTGGAGATTCCTAAGCTGTTTATCTTTGCCTTGTTGCTTTCCCAAAGAGTTGTGACATTCTACAGTGTCAACCCTGAATATATCGTTTCAGTAAAAGTTTACAACTTTTTGTCGGGGTTTTATATGTTGTGGCTAATTAATAATTCTGAGAGTTCAACATTGCTGTAATTTGCTTTTGTGTGGCTTTTTTTGTATACTGTGTTCGTTTATATGAATAAATGTCACAATGGTTTCTTTAACATTTCTGAGTTATTTGTGTAGTGAATGCTTGGCAGGATTATTTTCTTGATCTGTAGTCTGTTTTATTTTCATTTTTGCTAATGAAGTTTATAAGATTTAATTTTTTATGGTTGGATAGATTTTTGAGTATGCATGAAATTTATTGACACTTCCAAATATTTTTCATTTTCATGGGCAACTGAGACTAATTCAGTTGTTCAGTAGCACTCAGTAATCATTCATAAAATAAGTGTTTTCTTCTGAGAATCTGGTATTTATAAAATAAAATGTTTAAAAATTTTTAACCGAAATATTAAATATATTTTCTTACGTATTTCTATCATAGTATAATAAAGTTGTTCTAGTTAAAAGCAAAGCATCTATTAGAAATTCCTGACAATGTTTCAACCTATAACACATATCTTCATTTTGGCACTTTGTAGTATTTTTAGTAATATTTCTGAAAAATATTGTCTAAAAAGTCATCTGAATTGGTCACAGAAAATTATCTACAGTTTTAAAACTCAAGAGCATTAAAGTAGTACAAATTTGCTATCTACTAATTCAAATTTATGGTATTTGAATAAGGGCTGTATTTCCATTTTCTTCTACTAACTAGATCTTTTCTTGTAAAGTATTTGAATTAATGCTTGCTGTATTGACCTATCATCAGAAATGATTCATTATGTAAGAAAAAATGCTTTATATTAGGTCATTAGTACATTTAATGCCTCTGAAATTTGTCATCAGACTTAGAATGGGCATAAGGATGTTCAATTAATGGTGAATTGTGTTTTTTTTTTCCATATAATTTACTATACTTGATGTATGAGTAGAAAAAAAAGTGATTCAATAAGCGCTCTGAGATATTAAGACATTTAAAATAGAAAATCTAAAGTTTATGCATTGAACTATGAATGTTAAATTTAAGCAGACTTAAAACTTTTTTTTAAAGTCGTGTAGGCAGCTCTTAACAAAGGATAATTTAATATCGTTTGCTAAGCACTACATGGAAGTGGATCAGTAATACCAACATATTTTCAATTTGAGTTACATTCTTTTTATGCCTAGGAGTATTTCATATTGGTGATACCAGCAGGCAAGTTAAAGAAATTACTCTCTTGCTATTCTTGCCCATTGTACTTAAAATATAACTTATTAAGATTCTCCCTACTATTATCTTTTTTGATTTAAGCATATACCCCTTTGATCTTTTCACGTTTCAGTTCCAATTTGATTTTGAACCCATATCTGGCAGAGCTCAGAGTCTGCTCTTGACTCAGTTCTCAGGGGTCACTCCTGGTAGTGTTTGGGGGCCCAGGTGGTTACTAGGGGTGAAACCTGGGCCTCCTACATGCACAGCATGTGCCAGCCCAGGACTCTGTCCCCAGCCCTTGGCCTCAGACTTTTTTCTTCATAAACAGTAGACCTATGAGGATATTTATTTATAGTTATTCTGTAGTTATTCTGCCCAGAAACTGTTCTTTAGAAACCTGAATTCATGAACCTGAACTGTTCATTAATCCTGTAAAATCCTTACCTTTCATCTCTTTGTACATTGCATCTTCTTTAGTTTGCTCATCTGGTTTTTGTTTGGGGGCTGGTGGTCCCTAGGGCTTACTCCTGGCTCTGGATCACTCCTAGGTGGGGGGCTACCCCGCAGTTGCTCAGGACTTGCTCCTGGTTCTCACCTTAGGGATCACTCCTAGTGATGTTCAGGGGACCATATGGGGTGCTGGAAATCTAACTCTGGTTGTCTGAGTACAAGCAAGCATCTTGTCCACTGCACTATCCTTTCGACCCCTCATCAGTGCTCTTGAACTGGGAAACTATGCAAGACATATCAAAGACGTCTCGAGGACGTGGTTCCAGCCTCACGAACTTCTGTGACTTGAAGTGAGAACTCAAGAAATGTACATATGACAAGGTAAGTAGAATACAAGACAAAACACAAAACACAAAGGATGGGTGAGTGGTATTACCAGCAAGTGCTTGATGTTTAGTGCAAACCAGGTCAGGCTCCTGAGAACTAGAGACAGGAAGTCCTTGACCTGGTAAGCAAGTGGGGCCTTGAACGATAAGAGAGAGGGCAAGGGTGTGTGTGTGTGTGTGTGTGTGTGTGTGTGTGTGTGTGTGTGGTGTTGGTTGGTGGGAGGGCGTGGGGGAGGGAGACAGGGAGGGTTCCCTGCAGAACTCTCTAGGTGCTAGGTAGAGTCAGCCAGTGGAGAGGGGAGGCTGTGGGGTGATGGAGAGCAGGTGAGGAGTTCTTGAGGGCTAGAAGGGCAGAGAGGCATTAAATGAGGCTTCGCACTGCTTGGAACCTGGAAAGGCAGAGCCGAGTGTCATTTCAGAGGACAGACCCGCTCATAGGGCAGCGCTGCTTTAAGGATCTTGGTCTAGCAGTGGTGGGTGGCAAGAGCTGAAGAGAGAAACGGGAGGCAGGAAACTCAGGATTGAGTCTAGCGCAGTACTCCTGGGTGGAGGCAATGAAAACAAAACCCAACTAGAGTATTCCCAGCTCATGCGTGTTTGGACAGAAAAATTGATGGTATCAGTAACCTACTGGGTAATTGGGGGCCAAGAAATTAGAGGGAAAGAATGATTAGCCATGGCCATCTAACAGTTGTCCTTAGAGAGAAAGAATCTGAATTTTCCTATAAAAGTATAAGCATGAGCTTGGTTGACAGCAAATGTGCTTCCAATGGCCGTGAGTTCCCGTGTGAGCAAAGAGGGTGCTTTTTCGAGAAACCCCGGCTCTCCGCAGGTGGTTGGTGTGTGGAATTTACTCTCTAGTTAGGGGTTCCCAATTAGGCCTTGTAAATCACGCCTGTGGTTGTGAGCACGGGCTCTGGAGTTGTTGATTTTTCAAGCTCTACTGCTTATCTCCAGCTATTAATACCTTAGGCAAGCTAATTAACTTTCCTGCACCCCAGTTTCCTCATTTGCAGATTGAGGAAAATTAACAGTTGTCGACTTCAGAAAATTATGAACGTTTAAATGAGGTCAATCAGGTGGAGTGTTTATCATGATTCTTAGAACTTTGTAAATAGTAAACAGAAGCAAATACCATATGCCTCATTGATATGTACGAGAGGGATACATTTGAGATTCTCATGATTTATGGATTCAAATTAGACACTTCAATGATGCTTTATAAGCTATTGTTTGAGCCGAGACAAGAATTTCCTGACAGCACAGATGATTAAATGGGGCAGTCGACTCTTGATGAAAATAGGAAAGTGTTTCAGAGAACAAACCTGGTCACCCTTTGTCTATTGAATGTACTGAAGTCAACTAAACAGACACACGTGCACACACAAACACATATACGTGGGGTCATTGATGAAACCCTCTCCTTTATGTACTAAGCTCTCTTTTTTACATACTGTTGTTTGGCCCAACAGTCCCCTGGAAGTAGAAGGAACCCGTTCTTATCATAATTTGGGGGTGAGGGGATTTGACATGACATGGAGGGTTGGGATTAGCTGCCAATAGTCTCAGAAAGGGTGGCAGAGCTGGGATTCTGATTCCATCTCTGTCCATTGCATCTGGAGAGCAGTGATCGGACACACAGATGTTCAGTGGGCAGACGGAAACCTATACTGTGGCACTAAGGTCTATCCAGGAATGAAAGCAGAAAGCAAGACATCGGTTTCTGCTACGACATGACAGTGGGTCCTGTGGTTTGGGATGGAGCGTTCAGAGAAGGGGGGGAGGGGGCAGTTGGATTTGGGTGAGATAACCGCATCTGGTCCTGAGCGGATAGAAAATCCCCTAGATGGAGTTCAAAGCAAAGTTCCGAAGTGAGTAAGGGGCTGGTGACAGGGATTAATAAGGAAAGGCTCAAGCAAACATGAGGAACTCAGCTAGCAATGACTAAGGCAAGATCAACTAGATATATGCAACTATCGATTGTGTAAACACGTAAAAGGAAGATGAATGATTTGGCACAAGGCATGGGGTGGGGGTGGGGGTGTAGCAGACAGTGATGGGATGGAAATTTAAGCTGGGTTTGTGGGAAAGTTTCTGAAAATCCAATAAGACGATACCTAGGGTCTAGTTTGCCCTAACGAAGCTGTGGAAATTCCATCTGTGATTTTTTTTTCAAATCTCCCTGGGAATGAAGCTCTCGGTGATAGAAGCAAATTCTTATTAATTTGGTCATCTGTGAGTACAGGATCATGGTTATCTAAGAAGAAGTCATTATTTTTTTTTTATAGTTACTCTGAAATGTGTAGGTTAGAGAACCACCAGAAGAGACTGCTTTAAAAATAAGGAAGGAAAGGTGAGAGTGAGGAAGAAAGTAAAGCAGTGGAGAAAGCCAGGGGAAAGAAGAGAAAAGGGAGGAAAGAAAGGAAAAAGAAAAGGAATTGAGGGCAGGAATTTAAAGGAATTGAAAGAA